AAGCATGTGCGTGCGGTGTGGGAAACTGGCGTGAGCTGTTGGGAAGAGGAAGACAGGCTGGGAGAGTGCCTGCCCAACAACCAGCCAGGAATGGCCCAGGCAGCACCAGCCCTGGGCTGGGGCGGGACACTGGGCTCCACAGCTGGTTGTTCCCCTGGGATCTGCTTAACCCACTGTGGGGCTGCGGGTGTCGGATGCAGGGCAGCCGTTGGTCTGGAAGGGCACTGTGGAGCTGGTGGCACAGGTACATCACTGTGTGCTCTTTCTTCATCTCTCTGGCAGTCATTGGCCAGAAGGTGAACTTGGCAGCCCGGATGATGATGAGCTACTCTGGGCTGGTGACCTGTGATAGCACAACCTGTGCCAGCTCTGGGCTGCCCTCTTGCTACTTCAAGGAGCTGCCGGAGAGAAAGATGAAAGGCTTCAAACATCCTGTCACTGTCTATCAATATGTGGGGATCACCACCAACAGGTGAGTGTCCTCTGAGAAGTCTGGATGAGGGGATGGTGGCATCAAGGGTCCAGCTTGGCCAGCATAGAGGAGTTCTGCAGAGAGAGCAGAAGCCGCTCTCCATTCACTGTGGATGAGACGGTCAGAAGCCCTGGTGTGGGAGGCTTTTTACCTCTCTTCCCTGCTGTTTCCTCTTGCTGGGAGAGTGGGAGTGAAACCACAGGAATGGGGAAGGTTTTGTTTCGGTAGACACAACCTGGCTTTCAGGCTCTGTCCAAATGGCTTTCAACTGCGCTTTCCGTGCTGTGCTCGCTCTACCACATGCCCTGGTAATGCTGACCCAAGAAGGTTTTGTCCTAGCTGCTCTTGAGTGGGAAGCTTTGGGCCAGTCTGGTTCCCATGGATAAAGGTGGACCCTCAGGACGTTCTTCATCATGTCTTCCTCCTCAAACCCGGGCTCTTCCTCTGGGCCAGGATTTGACCTTCTTTTTGGATGGTGGTTTGAATGTTAGTCTCTGAAAATACAGGAAGACTTAAGCCAGAGGTGCCAGGTGCTTGGAATCCCAGCCCATCGGGTCCTTGTTTCCAAGACTCTCGTTTTTTCCTGGCCAACGCAGTAAAGATATCTGCTAACCAGCAGCTCACTCTTGCTTCTTTCACATGTCTCTGGGTCTGGCCTCTGTTGACGGACTCTCAATATATTCTCTCGTCCTGGTGTGGCCGTTGGGTTTCTTAATGCTTAAAGCTCTCTCAGCATGCCAGCTTGAACTTTGGTGGGGGGGAGCATGCAGGGGATAACATGCCGCTCGAAAGAAAAACAGGTACCCTGAGGAGCACATCCAGCCCCTCCATGCCAGGCTGCTTCTTGATGTCCCTTGGCTTCTAACCAGCTAACTGACTTGTATTTTCTTTTTCCCCTGCTCCTAGCATATTTGGCATGGCTCTTGCCATGAAGATGCCAGATAACGCCTCCTTGCTGGGTATGTGGAGAATGCCTTGCTCTTCTGAACCCCAGTTTCTTCCCCTCAGTAACTTGTATTGGGAACGGAAAAGGTTTTGCTGGGGATAATGTTGCCTGCAGAGGCCCTGAGGAAGTGCTGGCTCTCTCAGTGCCTACTTAGTTGATATCTTTGGGGTGGGAAGCAGGGTGAGGCGCTCGGTGATCCCAGGCATGCTTCAGACCTGATAGGAAGGTTTGTTTCAAGCTGCTCACACCCTGGGGGCTAAACCAGTCCTTGTCCTTGGGGTCAGGAAAGAGATTTCCTTCTGCTAGACTGATGGGGAGTTTTGGTGGTTGGTTCTCCCCCTTGTACTCCTCAGAGGTGCTTTCTTGGCAGCATCTGCTTGTAAACATGGAAAAGTCAAGCATCACGGACGCCTTTAATCACTCAGTGTCTTGCTGGATGTTTTGGGCCCTGTCATAGGTTAACCCCGGTAGGGAACTCAGCCCCACACGGCTGCTCACTCCCCACAGTGGGATGGGGAAGAGAACTGGAAGGGTAAAAGTGAGCACACTGGATACGGAGAGCTTCATAGGTAAAGCAGCTGCTGTGCATCCATGACAGGCAAAATCAGGCATTCTTTCACTGCCTCCTGGTGGCAGGCAGGTGTCCAGCCATTCCCAGGAAAGCAGAGCTTCAACATGTGTATCAAGGACTTGGGAAGACAAACACAGGAACTCGTAATGTGCCCCCTTCCTCCTCCTTTTCCCCAGCTTTTCTTGTGAAGCACAGCATCATATGCAATGAAATAAGCCAGCTGGGGTCTGCTGTTGCAGCTGTGCCCCATCCCAACTTCTTGTGCACCCCCAGCCTGCTTTTGCTTGCCTGTCATGGATGCACAGCAGCTGCTTTACCTATGAAGCTCTCCGTATCCAGTGTGCTCACTTTTACCCTTCCAGTTCTCTTCCCCATCCCACTGTGGGGAGTGAGCAGCCGTGTGGGGCTGAGTTCCCTACCGGGGTTAACCTATGACAGGGCCCAAAACATCCAGCAAGACACTGAGTGATTAAAGGCGTCCGTGATGCTTGACTTTTCCATGTTTACAAGCAGATGCTGCCAAGAAAGCACCTCTGAGGAGTACAAGGGGGAGAACCAACCACCAAAACTCCCCATCAGTCTAGCAGAAGGAAATCTCTTTCCTGACCCCAAGGACAAGGACTGGTTTAGCCCCCAGGGTGTGAGCAGCTTGAAACAAACCTTCCTATCAGGTCTGAAGCATGCCTGGGATCACCGAGCGCCTCACCCTGCTTCCCACCCCAAAGATATCAACTAAGTAGGCACTGAGAGAGCCAGCACTTCCTCAGGGCCTCTGCAGGCAACATTATCCCCAGCAAAACCTTTTCCGTTCCCAATACAAGTTACTGAGGGGAAGAAACTGGGGTTCAGAAGAGCAAGGCATTCTCCACATACCCAGCAAGGAGGCGTTATCTGGCATCTTCATGGCAAGAGCCATGCCAAATATGCTAGGAGCAGGGGAAAAAGAAAATACAAGTCAGTTAGCTGGTTAGAAGCCAAGGGACATCAAGAAGCAGCCTGGCATGGAGGGGCTGGATGTGCTCCTCAGGGTACCTGTTTTTCTTTCGAGCGGCATGTTATCCCCTGCATGCTCCCCCCCACCAAAGTTCAAGCTGGCATGCTGAGAGAGCTTTAAGCATTAAGAAACCCAACGGCCACACCAGGACGAGAGAATATATTGAGAGTCCGTCAACAGAGGCCAGACCCAGAGACATGTGAAAGAAGCAAGAGTGAGCTGCTGGTTAGCAGATATCTTTACTGCGTTGGCCAGGAAAAAACGAGAGTCTTGGAAACAAGGACCCGATGGGCTGGGATTCCAAGCACCTGGCACCTCTGGCTTAAGTCTTCCTGTATTTTCAGAGACTAACATTCAAACCACCATCCAAAAAGAAGGTCAAATCCTGGCCCAGAGGAAGAGCCCGGGTTTGAGGAGGAAGACATGATGAAGAACGTCCTGAGGGTCCACCTTTATCCATGGGAACCAGACTGGCCCAAAGCTTCCCACTCAAGAGCAGCTAGGACAAAACCTTCTTGGGTCAGCATTACCAGGGCATGTGGTAGAGCGAGCACAGCACGGAAAGCGCAGTTGAAAGCCATTTGGACAGAGCCTGAAAGCCAGGTTGTGTCTACCGAAACAAAACCTTCCCCATTCCTGTGGTTTCACTCCCACTCTCCCAGCAAGAGGAAACAGCAGGGAAGAGAGGTAAAAAGCCTCCCACACCAGGGCTTCTGACCGTCTCATCCACAGTGAATGGAGAGCGGCTTCTGCTCTCTCTGCAGAACTCCTCTATGCTGGCCAAGCTGGACCCTTGATGCCACCATCCCCTCATCCAGACTTCTCAGAGGACACTCACCTGTTGGTGGTGATCCCCACATATTGATAGACAGTGACAGGATGTTTGAAGCCTTTCATCTTTCTCTCCGGCAGCTCCTTGAAGTAGCAAGAGGGCAGCCCAGAGCTGGCACAGGTTGTGCTATCACAGGTCACCAGCCCAGAGTAGCTCATCATCATCCGGGCTGCCAAGTTCACCTTCTGGCCAATGACTGCCAGAGAGATGAAGAAAGAGCACACAGTGATGTACCTGTGCCACCAGCTCCACAGTGCCCTTCCAGACCAACGGCTGCCCTGCATCCGACACCCGCAGCCCCACAGTGGGTTAAGCAGATCCCAGGGGAACAACCAGCTGTGGAGCCCAGTGTCCCGCCCCAGCCCAGGGCTGGTGCTGCCTGGGCCATTCCTGGCTGGTTGTTGGGCAGGCACTCTCCCAGCCTGTCTTCCTCTTCCCAACAGCTCACGCCAGTTTCCCACACCGCACGCACATGCTTGTACCTGTGTACTCGTGCCTCAGAGGGTGGCCAATGAGGCCACAGAACGCCATCCCACTGGTAACAGACACAGACGCTGTCCTGGCACACAGGGAAACAACACGGCTTCAGAGGCGCTCCAGGTGCAGTCCTGCCCACCCAGCTTCATCTCTTCCCGCATCTCCCCTCAGCACTAGCCTGGGCCACTGGCCATCCTGCCCTGCCAGCCTGGGGTTCGGGGTACAGAGAGCTCAGGGCTGTAAAGGACCCAGGCGGCAAGGACAAGGAACAGGGCTTAGAGCACAGGCAGGAACTTTTGGGCACTTCTCCTGAGACCCCCTTCCCTGAGCTGTGACCTGTGACCAGTGGGAAAAGAGGGAGGGAAGAAGGTGCCACAGTGTCACTGCCTGTGATGACAGCAATGTAAGATCAGGTGTCTAGGCCCCATCACTGTCCACAGGCCAGTCACCCAGAAGGTGCTGCTTCTGGCACCAAGGCCTATCGCCTTCACTAGGGCTCGTTCCAGCATGGTGGCTAGCAGGGTGTGCTTGGAGACACTCTGCCTGGCTGCCCAGGGATAAGCCCAGGGGTTGCCTGCCACCTCTCAGGGCACTGTTTCCTTCCTGCCAAGGAAGGGAGGACAGGGGAGGGTAAGCTAGACGCAACACTCTTTCTTCCTCTGCTTTACGCTGGCCCAGGCAGCACGCGCTCCCTCAGCCCCACCAGACACTCACCCTGTTTTTGCAATGATCTTGGAGCACGAGTTGAAGATCTGAAAAGCACTCTGCAAGGCATGAATGCTCTCATGGGCCAGCTTTACTCCGGGGAGTCCGAACACACACAGGAATGTACAGCCCTGCCAAGGACAGATGCAGCACATCTTGCCACAATGCCTAAGAAGGAATCTTCCCCTCTTGCTCAGTATCCACCCTCTTGGGTTGGGGGGAGATGATTCCACCTCACACTCACTTTGTCAAACAGGAAGACTTTGTTCACTTCACCCTTGTGAGGACAGATGATTTCCTGCATCAGGCTGCTGACTTCACTGAGGACACTACGGAAAGATACTATGTCCTTTGTATCAAAATTCAGGTGGAGGAAGAGGATGGTGACTGGCCGTAGCTCACAGAGGAAGTCCTGCGGCACTCTGTCTTCAAGCTGGAAGACAAGAGCATGACAGCTTCACAAGCCTGCTCTCCCAGGGGCTGCCCACACCAGGTACAAAGGGAGAGCTGGTGTCCTGGCAATAGCAGGTACTAGTAGGGGAAGAGAAGATCCTCCTCTCGGTTTAAATGGTCGGCAGGCTGCCCAGCTTGCAGCAGTCAGATACCAAATCAGAACACAAATGACAAAGGCGAGAAGGGCGCTCCGGTAACACCCCATCTTGGGACAGTTATGGACATGAGTGGTGACCCTGAGCGATGCTCATGGGGCTTCAGTGGATTCAGACAAGAGATGCAAATGTCTGCCCCACCACCCATCTCTCCGAGGACAACTCATCCAGTGGTGCAGCACCTGTGCCCCTTGGCCCAATTTGCCCACATTGTCATCTCGGGATGCATTTTCTTTGTTTGGCTTGCTCTCATGGAAACTCCCTCTCTGAATGCACCGCTTCTTCTGCCCTGCAAAAAAAGCAGCCCCAGCAGCAACGGCCCAGGCGTACCTTCCTGAGAACAGCTTTTGGGATGTAACAGAGGGTGGATACTGAGCAAGAGGGGAAGATTCCTTCTTAGGCATTGTGGCAAGATGTGCTGCATCTGTCCTTGGCAGGGCTGTACATTCCTTTGTGTGTTCGGACTCCCTGGAGTAAAGCTGGCCCATGAGAGCATTCATGCCTTGCAGAGTGCTTTTCAGATCTTCAACTCGTGCTCCAAGATCATTGCAAAAACAGGGTGAGTGTCTGGTGGGGCTGAGGGAGCGCGTGCTGCCTGGGCCAGCGTAAAGCAGAGGAAGAAAGAGTGTTGCGTCTAGCTTACCCTCCCCTGTCCTCCCTTCCTTGGCAGGAAGGAAACAGTGCCCTGAGAGGTGGCAGGCAACCCCTGGGCTTATCCCTGGGCAGCCAGGCAGAGTGTCTCCAAGCACACCCTGCTAGCCACCATGCTGGAACGAGCCCTAGTGAAGGCGAGAGGCTCCTTGGTGCCAGAAGCAGCACCTTCTGGGTGACTGGCCTGTGGACAGTGATGGGGCCTAGACACCTGATCTTACATTGCTGTCATCACAGGCAGTGACACTGTGGCACCTTCTTCCCTCCCTCTTTTCCCACTGGTCACAGGTCACAGCTCAGGGAAGGGGGTCTCAGGAGAAGTGCCCAAAAGTTCCTGCCTGTGCTCTAAGCCCTGTTCCTTGTCCTTGCCGCCTGGGTCCTTTACAGCCCTGAGCTCTCTGTACCCCGAACCCCAGGCTGGCAGGGCAGGATGGCCAGTGGCCCAGGCTAGTGCTGAGGGGAGATGCGGGAAGAGATGAAGCTGGGTGGGCAGGACTGCACCTGGAGCGCCTCTGAAGCCGTGTTGTTTCCCTGTGTGCCAGGACAGCGTCTGTGTCTGTTACCAGTGGGATGGCGTTCTGTGGCCTCATTGGCCACCCTCTGAGGCACGAGTACACAGGTACAAGCATGTGCGTGCGGTGTGGGAAACTGGCGTGAGCTGTTGGGAAGAGGAAGACAGGCTGGGGAGAGTGCCTGTCCAACAACCAGCCAGGAATGGCCCAGGCAGCACCAGCCCTGGGCTGGGGCGGGACACTGGGCTCCACAGCTGGTTGTTCCCCTGGGATCTGCTTAACCCACTGTGGGGCTGCGGGTGTCGGATGCAGGGCAGCCGTTGGTCTGGAAGGGCACTGTGGAGCTGGTGGCACAGGTACATCACTGTGTGCTCTTTCTTCATCTCTCTGGCAGTCATTGGCCAGAAGGTGAACTTGGCAGCCCGGATGATGATGAGCTACTCTGGGCTGGTGACCTGTGATAGCACAACCTGTGCCAGCTCTGGGCTGCCCTCTTGCTACTTCAAGGAGCTGCCGGAGAGAAAGATGAAAGGCTTCAAACATCCTGTCACTGTCTATCAATATGTGGGGATCACCACCAACAGGTGAGTGTCCTCTGAGAAGTCTGGATGAGGGGATGGTGGCATCAAGGGTCCAGCTTGGCCAGCATAGAGGAGTTCTGCAGAGAGAGCAGAAGCCGCTCTCCATTCACTGTGGATGAGACGGTCAGAAGCCCTGGTGTGGGAGGCTTTTTACCTCTCTTCCCTGCTGTTTCCTCTTGCTGGGAGAGTGGGAGTGAAACCACAGGAATGGGGAAGGTTTTGTTTCGGTAGACACAACCTGGCTTTCAGGCTCTGTCCAAATGGCTTTCAACTGCGCTTTCCGTGCTGTGCTCGCTCTACCACATGCCCTGGTAATGCTGACCCAAGAAGGTTTTGTCCTAGCTGCTCTTGAGTGGGAAGCTTTGGGCCAGTCTGGTTCCCATGGATAAAGGTGGACCCTCAGGACGTTCTTCATCATGTCTTCCTCCTCAAACCCGGGCTCTTCCTCTGGGCCAGGATTTGACCTTCTTTTTGGATGGTGGTTTGAATGTTAGTCTCTGAAAATACAGGAAGACTTAAGCCAGAGGTGCCAGGTGCTTGGAATCCCAGCCCACTGGGTCCTTGTTTCCAAGACTCTCGGTTTTTCCTGGCCAATGCAGTAAAGAT